GGGGGTGTTTTTTACGTGGCGGGTCCCAAACCCAGCGCACAACCCTATGTAGGGTTTTCATCACATATATAAACATATTTGAGCTTTGGTTTTCATTTTATCATTTTCTCACTTTTAGCAAATGTTTGTTTTATACGTATCAGGCATATATCGGTGTAAACTTTCACGGCTCTATACAATATTTTATTATTGAGTTTAGGTGTTTAGAAGATGTGTGAAGAAATAATATATCACTTATCACCGAAGCAAATTTAATAAAGCTTCAGTATCTACTTATTAGAAGCTTCGTTAACGAAAAACTTGATATTAACTTTTTACCCTGCTGTGATAACATTTTAAAGGAAAAACAGTTATCTTGAGCAAATGGAGGTCTCAGAATCTGATGTTGAAGTTGAGATAAAAAAATTATTGGTTCACATTGCGTCACAAATGTAATTAATGAACGGAATGAGTCGCTGCTTCCAATGTCATGATCTCAAGCTGGCTAGTATCAAAGTCATTACATTGCAGGCAAGCAACTTCTAGCGAAGGCTGACGTATTTTCCCAATCAGCCCCTTATGTTGAACTATTTTAAATATATCCTCAGAAGTAGGTGAATGGATAATACAACGGCCTTTGCTAAGGAAGTACCTGACAGTAGGTAGATAGTATCAAAAGATAGGGGTAGAGAGAGGGGTAGAGACCACCGAATCAAAAACTTAACATGGAGGACAATATATCCGTATTAACGAAGCGAACAGGGACATTGCGTCACAAATATAGTTAATGAACAGAATGAGTCCTCTAATTGCTTATTTTCATATAACTGTTAATAAAATCGCAAAATGATGAATAGCAAAAACAAATTTGGAAAAACTGCAGACCTTCTGTTCGAATTCAATTTCAAAAGGAATCAGTTTAATAAACCCTAAATGCACTATATTTGTGCTAGATCCTCCAAAGGAATTAACTTCAAATTATTCCTGTCATTATCTTCCTTCGCCAGTCATAACGTCGCTCCCGATGTTATTCAATATGCACCAGTTTCAATTGGAGAGCTCTCATAAGAATCTGCTGAGTCAATTAAAATGTATCGACTCCATCATACACGAAAGAACTAACGCATCACTACAAATCAGGACTTGCTAATCGATTGCTTTTGAGCTTAGATCCTTTCATCACCAATCAAAGAAACTATCATGCAAAAGTAATTCAATTTTATTAAAATCAGTTTTTCATTTAGTTGAGTAACATTCAAAAAATTCCTTTTTTCGTTTATCAACTTTTTTAATTAATATAATTAATTAAAATTTGTTACCCGGAGTGGGAAACGGGATAGGGAGATTTTAAAAAGCTTTGGTCATTCAATAAATAAACCCTCAAGGTACTTACCGATCGAAAAAGAGCTTGAAAATACTGTCGATAATTCTTCGGAAAAGAAAACGTTTCTAATATTTTTTATTAAAAAATAATAGATAATAAGCATTTAGTGTTTGTTATTTGCTTAGTAGCTTGAAATTCTTTACTATGTCGTAATGTTCATGAACAGGGTATATTAAGTTTGCCACAGAGAACGTATCATATAGAAGTAAATATTGAAAACCATATAAAAATATTCGTATATACTTGTATAAGGGATGAGCATGAGGATCGTTCAAAATTAAAAACTTGTTTAGACAATTTTTTTATTAAAAAAAAATATCTTCACTTCATTTGACATATATTATTTTCCTAGGCAACGGCAACTGCTACTAATCCGACTGATCAAAATCAAGTTCTTATGAGGATATTTTTATTTTGTGAAATGTGTTTTTGTAATTTATTCTTAATGATTTGGGCTTTCTTCTCGAAAAGAAGGCTGTCAGTTTCGAGATGACACTACTAGTCTCCCTTTTTCGACTTTAACTCCAATTTATTTAGCTAATATCAGAAGTAATGCATATAAAAATGCAATCGCATGCAGGCCCTCAAAAATTTCATGCATTGCATTTTTGAAAAATGCGTTTTGGGAAAGAGAAAGTAATTGAGGTACATTATTTGGAGCCATTGCATTGATTCAGACGAATACGGAGGGTTAGGCAAGACCACCGTGGAGTAAATTAGCCATGGCTAAAGCCAGTAAACGGCGAGTGAATTCGAAGTAAAGCAGTGGTGAATGCAAACGAAACTGAAGTAACAGAAATCGAAGTAACAGAAACCTAATGAACTCTTTACAGTTTAGTATTTGGTTCCACATTTTAGGACACAAATCTAACCACAAACTGTGGGAAAGGCATTCAATATAATCGAAGAAAATTGTGCAATCATTTGTTCAGTGTTGATAATTAACGCTGCTTTAATTTGCTAATGAGTCTCGCACTGGAAGAAGTGAATGCCGAACAGCGAGCGGTAACGCCTGGCTACTAACATGAACATACGTGCCACAAGTAGCTGCAGCTCAATAAGTATCGACATGCATGGAATTACTGATAAAACAACAAAATGTGTTTAGGTACACATTGGAAAGTGGTGCAGAAAAATTAAATTCGAAATATGAATTAAGAGAAAATTAAATGTATTTCTCGGGGTATAAAAGCGTCAGTGAGCACTGGCAAAACCACAGTTCATTCAGGTCTATCGATCGTTAACACTTAAGCAAAGCTAAAGTACAAACCGTTTTCTGAAGCAATCACTCATAACTAGCTGCGGTACAATGGCCTTCAAGGTAAGCTTCGGTTTCCAAAATGTTTATTAAGGCGCTTCACGGAAATCCGACAATTAATCGAATCCTTTTTTCCACCAATTTAGTTTATCGCTGCATTCGCTTTCTGTTCTGCGCTAGTCGTAGTCAACGCAGCACCATATATACATCACGAAGAGAGCGGCGGACACGAGCATGAGGTACACAGCGGCGGCTCCAGTCATGCATCCATACACTTGGTCTCGCATGACGATCATCATGATGAGCATGGACACGAACATGGTGATGGCCATGATTCGCATGCCGAGTACCATTTCAAGTATGGTGTAGAGGATAAGAAAACCGGTGACTATAAGGAGCATAGCGAAAAACGTGATGGCCACAAAGTAACCGGACATTATGAGTTGATTGATGCCGATGGTCATAAGCGCACTGTCCACTACACAGCTGACAAGCATAGCGGTTTCCACGCCATCGTACACCGCGAACCCACACACCATCATATTGCTGATCACGGACACACCAGCTACTATGGCGGTTATGCTCATCTCGAGGAACATCATGGTGGTGAGCATGGTCATGAACATGGCCATGGACACGGTCATCATGGTCATGAGAGCGGTTTCTCGATCAAACAGGAGCATGGTGTGCCTTTCCATCACGAAGCTCATCATGAAAGTGCTCACGAGGGTGGTAGTGAAGGTGGTCACTAAGTTTGCCTATGGCTGGAACTTAGCATTTAGACGCAAAAATATTTGCGTTGCTCCAAATTTGTTGTGTAATGAAAAACTACTGTTAGGTATAAGTTTAATTTAAGTTTAGCAAAGCATTGAGTGTTTCTGTAAAACCAAAAAAATCCTATTATTTTAGTTGAATTTTTCCTAATGTTAATAAAGCAATTTAAAAATCAAAGTTTCGACTTCAGTTTTCTTTACATAAAAATTCGGTATTTTTTGAAGACCCTTTTTATTTTTAACTTTAATTTCTTTGGAGAATCAATTTAGGTCCAACATTAAAACTGTCCGAAATATATCACAAATATACTCAATAAGATTATAGTCTGGAATTATAGTAAATCCCAGTTTGTTCAAGGAAAGTTTTCGTGTCGTTTGGAACGAGAGTTACAACGTTTTCTTACCAAACCTTCTAAACATGATTCTTTATTAGATGCTGAAACACCTTTATCACACCACACCAAAATTTAAAACTAATGATTACACCGATCAACACGATTTTTGGTTCTGAAATCTACAAATACAAAAATAGGGAAATTTTTTTTTTCGGTTAAAGTTTGCTTTCGTAGAAATTAGAGAAATTTTTCGATTTTTAAGCATAAATGACTGACTTTTATATTTTTTCTACAATTTCACTATTGATTATAATTAGAAAATTTTTTTAGATACAAGTGTCGTTTTTATGCAAGATGTGTGATAATCATTAATGTATAAATGTAAAATAGCAAGAAATTACTGTCTAAAAGTGAATATTTATTGTATTTCTTTTATTCTCATATGACCTCTCGTATCAAAAACCAAATATAATCTCCCATCATATTCTCGTTGTATTGCCCTTGATATCGACGTTCAAAGTCTATCACATCTTGGTGAAAACGTTCTCCTTGCTGCTCGGAGTAGGCCCCCATGTTGTCTGCCATCTTTGATTTATGAAATAAATTAAAATATACTTATCGATGTAGATCAGCCCAACGCAAACTTAAAGAACTAAAGATTAATATATAAGTATTTTTCAATGTCTAGAATCACAATTCACGCATGAGAACAGAGACCCAAACATATTTTTTTTTTTTTTTTTTTTTTTTTTGTTGACCGGTGTTATAATCGAAACTCAAATTTACGTACATCAATTATTGGCAAAATCTAAACCCAGTGCTTCATTTATTTAACCTAAGATCACCTTTTATTTAGCTGCTTACAAAACTTAGATTTTTAATATCGTCTATCTATTTAACTGTTCTCTGATGGTTTTCAACGGAGGTACTGGGGCTGGTAACGTTAAGAAAAGATATAAAATCAGTTGTCGATTAACTTCGAAACCTTCGAACGGCTGACTATTATTTGGATTCTGTTACTAATTAATGTCAAAATTAAGAAGCTGCTGTTTGAAAATTTTCGTAGCTCTCAATGGCTATAATAAGTTATTTCAGCCTCTTGACTGAATTAATTATTTATATAATAAATAGCATATCGATGAGATATAAATTTTGCTGAATCAAGTTCAATCCACAACCCTTGCTATGAGGTGTGCCTATTTCGTATTTATAATACAAACCCCTTTGTATTCTCGGTGGATTCTGAAGGTGTTTTATCTAACACAACTAACGTGTCTTATCTATAATATTAATCAGAGCTGTTCCCGTAACTTTCAGAGAATAAGATCCTCCCTTTGTACTCCATTGAATTATTCAGGGGTTGTGTGGAATCCAAGACAGAATTGCTGAGCTGTCAGAATTGCAAACCAATTCTGATTTTCAATGGTGTCACAGAATCTGATTGGATGTTTGTCTTTTCGAACATACGCAAACCAATATTCGAATCAGTTGTTTACTAATGTGACAAAACTTGCAAATTAACACTTTTGGAAGGAATCCAATTAAAGTTTTTTATGAGTTCCGAATTAAAGAAAAATTTTAAGAAATAGCATTTATTGAATTAATAAAGACGCATTTGTTTCGTTTTTTCATTTTTACGATTTTTCTTGATTGGCGGTCAGAATAGAAAAAAACTGAACGTCATATGGAATTGGGGCAAAATTTATTATCTTTGGCATTAAATTATCTTCTATTTAAACTAAAAAAAAAACAAAAAATTTTAATTTGAAGATATGTATATTTAAAATAAAACTTTTTTAGAATAAAATCAGTTTTTTTTTCAAATTTTAAAATTTTTCATAATTTTACACTTTTTTCATAGTTTAATTTGAACATAAGTTATTGAATAATATAATATGAATTTTTTGTTTCCGATAGAAAAACTTAAAAAAGTAAATTTATTTTTACCTTAAGCAGGCTCCCCCTTAAACACCCACATTTTTTTCCAAAACTCAATAATTAAGACATTTCTAATTTTATTCTTATGTTTTCTTCTATAGAAATAAAATTAGATTAATTCGTAACAATAAATAACTTGATTTCTTAACTTACATTTCAAATATGTATGCGACAATCTTCTTGATTTGATTCTGACCGCAAAACCGATAAAATTGGCTTCCGTGACACCCAAAACCGATAAAAATTCTGTTTCGAATATCAAAATAATAAAATCTGAATTCATGACATCTACTGCTTTTTTTGATCGGTTTCAATTCTATCAGATTCCACAACACCCCAGATTGTAAAAAACGAGTATTTGCATTATATTGATCCTGACAATTAAATTTTCGTTCCACTAAAATCAAAAAATATGGGCAAATTGCTCGGCAATGCCTCCATATTGGAAGTGTTCTGAACAGCAAATTTACACAAATCCGAAGCTAAGCTACCACAAGTTACTTAACCAAGAAATTTTGGAAATGACGTCGCAGAGGAACATCGCCCGATCTCGGCGCAAACGCAGCACTCAACACTCCGGGGAGATGGAGTGAGCGTACTATGCATATCGCGCAGCGACTGTGCGTTGTGACCCGTTGTCACAGCATCAGAAGACCAAGAGCGACGTATACTTGCGCCCGCCAGCAAATTACTGGGTGGGAGATATTGACTGGAGAGTGTGACCGTCAGCCACTGAGCAGATCTGCTAATTAACTGCTAACTAGCGATTCAATGTTCAATGTGCCAATGTTCACAAACAGAAGACACACACTTCCACTTACTCTCTTTAATAGAGTAGATTTTATACCGACGAAGTAGCGAAAAAGCATCTGAGAATTACACGAATATGTGGCATTGAAAGAAATTTACTAACAACCAAAATAGAATGGAGTTTCAAAGCAGCAACAATAAAGGCAAGCAGGTACCTGTATAAAAAGTTGATACTGACGAATCAATGTAAAGTGAACAAAACAAAAAAACAAACAACAGAAAATAAGCGAGTGAATATTTCTGTAGTTAAGAAGCAGTAATAATGTCTGTAATCACCATTTCAAAGGCAAATTTAAGAAACTATGTATCTGATTACAATGTTGTTATGTGTCTTTGACAAAATCAGTAACAATTTGCTCCACAGAAAAGTATACTTCTATTTAGTTACTTATTATTGTTTTAATTTCTTGGATCAGTTTTTATTAAGCAACGGTTATGTGTATTTCAGTGTAATTTAGTTCAAACAAATTTTGAAGTGGCATAATTGCTTGCTATTAGATATTTTGAAGATTGAGGACTTCTACTTGATTTTTGCAGCCGTTTGTTTGATTATTAAAGTCTTAGAAACTCCGAAACAATGATGTCGCCAAGCTAGAAATTGGTGCAATTTTAAAAGGTATGCCAAACTATTTTCAAAAATTAACAGAGGGAACCAATACGAGATAAATTTAGGAACTTCCACGTCCTTGAAAGCGATGGGGGCTCAGAGAAGTTTTGACCCGATTCAACCCATTTGTAGCACGCATACCAACTATTACAAGGAAAGAATTCTCTCTGAATTTCAATTATAATACTATGAGCAAACAAAAGTAACACCGTGTTCATAATTTTAAAATTCTGGTGAATACGTTGGTTGCGGCACTAAGTTAGTCGAAAATTTACGACGGTGCATTATCGTGACCAAGAGTCGTCGGTCCTTAATTCCTGCCTCCTTTTGATAATAGCAATGACGCTTAACACTCAAATAATATTCTTTGTTGACGCATTGGCCGGCCTGAAGATTTCGGAGTTTACCACACAACGGTAATCGAAGTAAACTTTAAACACAATAATACGTTTCACAGACGCTAAAGCAGCACTGATTTTCGAAAAAATTTAGTGATTTTTGAACCAATAGTGCTTTTACTTTTCTTAAGTATAAATGATATTTTGGACTTGATCTCTGACTGCTAATCGTCAATTCTAAAGCATCAATTCCCTTATTTTATTGACTTGTTGATTATCAGTTGATGTTGATGGCCGTCTTCGATGTGGTTCGTCGTCAACGGGTTCTCGACTTTATTTGAATAGTTTGTAGCAATCAAAAACACTTACTCACGACAAAAAATTATCACAGAAGGCCTTTTCCAACATTCTGAACTTTTCGGCACCAGATATTTGATTCCGAACAATAATACTATTGAAAATTCTTTGTTGAATAATATCACTCATCGTAAAAAATGCCGAATTCACTATATGTTCAGGAGGACAAGCATTTAATAAGCACTAATAATTATTATACTCTCGCAACAAAGTTGCTAAAGAGAGTATTACAGTTTTGTTCACATAACGGTTGTTTGTAAGTCCTAAAACTAAAAGAGTCAGATATAGGGTTTTATATACCAAAGTGATCAGGGTGACGAGTAGAGTTG